GGGGGGTGGGGGTGGGGGGGGGGAGAGGAAACGAAAAAGGAAACGGACACAGGGCAGGGCGGGGGGGGGGGAGACGAGAAATACACAAAATGACCACAATGGGGGTTTGCATGCAGAGACTATCGGATGCACCTCGCCGGAAGGATGAACGGGATGGGAGAGAGAGAAAGCACTGTTTTGTGTGGATCCATTTTTCGCACAGACACAAACGCACACAAACACACACACGCACAACTGCACGCCAAAAATGATGGGCTAATGCTTTCCGCTAACTCTACTGGTTGTAGATGAGGCTTCGGGAACATTTTCAACGTAGGGGATCCACCCATTTAGTTATCTTTTCTTTCTACCCGTCTGACTCCTTCTGGGTTTTACTGGGATTGAACTGGGTTAAGAGAGTCCCTTGTTCTGTCTCGAAATAAGCCTTGGTTTAAATCCAGCCAAATTCTGGATAATTTCAGGTTCTAAAAAGATTGCTGTTTGCAAAGCACTTTTTCCCCTAGCCAGGATTTAATAAAAAACCAATGATGGTGTTTGCATTATTAGGGAAGACAATGGGTGGGCCTGCATTGTCCGTTGCTAGAAAGTTTTTTGGGGTGACTAGAGTGTCAATAAATCAAGAAGTTGAAGGACCAATTTCATTGATTTAACCTTCCTTGTTGGGCAAACTAGCCAGGAATGGCCTTGAGGATCAGGAGGAACTGAGGTTAGCAAAGCAACATTAGATAAGAGGTGGCTGAGCCCTGGTTAGCTAAGAGGTGTGGGGACCTTGGTGCTGTTCTCGAGCTTGGCTGTTTTCCTGCAGACGTTTCATTACCACACTAGGCAACATTATCAGTGCAGGAAGACAGTGGGGTTTGCTCTCTGTTTCCATGCTCTGTTTGTACATTAGAGAAGAGGTGCTTGAGCCCCAGCTAGGAAAGTAATGTGTGTATGTTTAAAGGAATGGGAGGGGGAAGCACATTCCTGCTTGCAAAGTGCTTTTAATTACACCCGTTGCAATAAAAGTAATTCTGCTCTATATGGTACTGGTTTCCTAGTCTGGCCTGCCTTGCAGGGCTGCTGTTGCAGGTAACACTGAACTAAGAGGGGTTAATTCCTCACTAAAAACAAGGCATTCTCCTCTGTTCTAAAGTCACTGGGAAGATGAAATGGAGAATCACACCAACTTCTGGAAACCTTGTTTAATCAGTTGATTTTTTTTATTATTCTCATCTGAATTTAACTCTAGGAAGGAGAGAGAAAGAGGAAGAGAGGGAGGGAGGGAGAGAGAGAGAAGGAAGGAAAGGAGGAGGAGAGAGGAAGGAGGGAAGAAGAGGAGGAGGGCAAAGGAAGGAAGGAGAGGAGGAGAGAGGAAGGAAAAAAGAAGAGGAGGAGGACGAAGGAAGGAAGGATACAAAATAGAGCCACAGGAAAACAGTGCCACCCGTATGATAAATGAAAAGGGGAGACCAAAAGGAAGGAAATTGGGGGAAAACTTACTGAAGGACGAGGAGTTTGAAAAAGGCACACAAGGAAAGAGAGTGAATTCAGAGAGGGGGCAAAACAAATGGAAGAGAAGGGGAGAGAGAAATATCCAACTGAAGAGATAAGTTCTGCAAAAGGCATCAAAATGGCAAAACAAGGCAGGTAGAAATGCAAACACCTGAGCATTTATTGGAAACAGAAGAAGGCAACAAAATCAAACTGAATATCGTAATGAAGAAGGAAGGGAGGGAGAGAGGGAGAAGGGAAAATGAGAAAGGTGGAAGGATGGAGGGAAAAAAGGGAGGGAGGGAGGGAGAAGGGAAAACAAGGGTAAAAGGATGGTGGGAAAGAAGAAGGGAGAAAAAAGAAAGGACGGAAAAGAGAACAAAGGAAGGGGAAGGTACGAAGGAAGAAAAAGAAGGGAAGAAAAGAGAGGGAGGGAGGGAGAAAAAGGAGGGAAGAGAAGAAAGGAGAGAAAAAAAAGAGGGAGCCAGAAGAAATGAAGGAAGAGAAAGGAGAGAGCAAAGGAAGGGAAAGGAAAAGGGGAAGAAAGGAAGAGGAGACAGGGAGGAAAGGGAAGGAGAAAAAAGTAGGGAAGAAGGGAACAAAGGAAGGAAAGAGGGAGGAAAAGGAGGGAAGGAAGAAGAAAGGAGGGAAGAAAATAGGGAGGAAGAAAGGAAGTTCAAATCAAACTTCAAAACAAGAAAGTGGCAAACCATGATTCATATGGCCCAGGACTGTGAATCGGAGTCTGAAGTGCGGAGTCCAATTGTCAGTGGGGGGTGGGGGTGAGGAAGGGAGGGGCCTGCTTTCAGTTCCCCACAAGGGAGGGNAGAGAGAGAGAGAGAGAGAGAGAGGAAAAAACAACCCCCCAAAAGCAAATAAATAAACAAACAAACAAATCGTGAACCACACAGGGATAGCTTAGAGGGGGAGGGAAAGAAATCCACTGAATAATAATAATAATAATAAAAAGAAAACGTAAAATATCTTTAAAAAAATGGATATAGATATATAGATATATATATACACACACGCACACACATACGCACATTTGGAAGAATACCCTCCTCCAAAGGATTTTTAAAATAACAATAATAAAGCCGTCAAAACAAAAATGTCAAATAATTTTTTATTTTTTTTTGAAAAATAAAAAGGACCGGCATGCAAAGATCATTGTTCACATTCTCCTAATCATGCATCAGGCCCAAACGTCCGTACAGAGGAGAAAAAAAGTGCACATACAACGCAGAAACGTTACCAAGGATGCAGAGAGAGGGGCACAATGCAACTCAACTCATCTCCGGCGAGACCCGAGAACAAGCAGATCTCGCCCGCCGTTCTTATATTTGATTTTTATTTTTTAAAATCATGATATCGACAAGAGATTTTTTTTTCTTGCTTTCTTTCTCTTTCTTTCTCTCTCTCTCTCTTTTCTTAAATTTTTTTTCTTAATTTTTTGTTGTTGTTGTTGCTAAAATAGACATATTCCTTTATCGATAAAAAGAGCTTTTCTTATTTAGTTAGTTATTTTATTTAAATCATCATCATTCACCGTAGTTTTTTTCTTTCTTTTCTTTTTCTTTTTTTTAATTTTTATAAAAAGATAAAGGTTATAGATAATAGATAATATATACTTCTCTCTTTAAGAAATGTAAAAATGTGGGTAAAGAAAGTAAAAAAGAAAAAAAACCACACCAACCTTCTCGTAGCTCTGAGGGATGTTAAAGGGGTTTGATGCGGAACACAATGACATGGGAAGAGAGAAAAATAGGGAACACAGAGAGAGTAAAAAAAGGCCTTTCAAGGCAGGCAACTGCAAATCGATTTTGCTTTTTTCTCTTTCTTTCCGTTTTTTAACTTTAAAAAAAAAACTTTTTTTCTTTAAAAAAAAAAAAACTCCAATCTGTCCCTTTTTTCCTTCCGAAACCATCGGGGCCACCACCAAAGAAGGCCCCGGGAAAGTTGAAGGTCTCTGGGGAGGGGGGCGCCTCATATCAACCCGGACGGGCCGGTTTAAGAGAAGCCGTCCCCCCTTCCCGAGAATTCAGAAGCCCCTCTGGCACTGCTGGATGGCCCACCCCCTCTTTCTCCCCAACATCGCCCCCTCCGCCACCCCCCCCTGCGGCTGAAGGAAAGAAAGATTAACAAGGACCGTGTGATTCCCACCACCTCCGTCACCGTGGGGTCCTCGCCGTGGGTTAGATCTCTTCCGCGGTCCACCAAAAATATTTCAGGCAGGGCCAAGTAAGATCCTGACACTTGTTCGAGGCATGTCCACATGGGTTTGGGAGTTGAAACTCAGGACGGGACTGCAGGTTGCAACGGACCAACCCGATTTGGCTCGAGCTAGCAAAAATCCCAAATTTGACCGAACCTCCAAATTTTGAAATTTTGGGGGGAGAGGGAGGGAGAAGGCAATTTTCCATATCTTTGGATCAGTCCAATCTCGCCGATTTAAAGCGGGAAATTGTGTGACGGGAGCCTCGCCTCCATACGGACATGCTTCGAACCCCAATCCCTTTGAATCTTCTTCCCCTCCACCAACGTAACAAAAAGACGAAAAGAAAAGAAAAAAAGGAGGGGTGGAAACCAGACCTCTTTTTCCTGTTCAGGGAAAAGCAAGAACCCCAAGAAAAGGAAACAATAACCTGAGCTATTATTCCCTCCACACACACCCCTCACCCGCAAATCTCAAAAGTCATTAAGAGAAACAAGCATGTTACGGGAAGAAACAGTCAGAAAAAAAACATCGAGAATTTTTGAGTGCAGCGACAACGAAGGGGGGAAAAAACAAGGCGTCGAAGACCCCTCCCATACCCACCCCATCATTTCTGCCCCCCACCCCCACCCCAAAATTCAATCCTTGGGGAGATATCAACACAAATTAACCTTCCAAATTAGCTAGAGCTCACTTCATGGAAATCGCTCCCCGTTTTAAACTGGGGGCAAAAGCCTCTTAAAAGCCTCTTAAAAGAGGGGTTCAAATAGAACGGGCTCTTGTGTAAATTTGCACACGCGGGACGTGCCGGTCTACCCCGACTGGTTAAATTTGGAGCGGTGAATTTGTTTCATTCACACTTGTTGTAAAGCATTCAAAAACTTGTAATCTTTCATACGCTGCTTTTTTGGTGCGCTGACCGATTAAGCACCACTACAACAAGTGTGAATTCTGGTAGGATGTTTTTATTTTAAATAAATAAATTTCAGGTCAAGATTTTCAGGGCAGCCTGATATTCCAGCGGGAATGAAATAATTTCAGGTCTGTACGTAGATGACACTAAAGGAATTGTTTCTGCGTTGCAGAATTCGAATGGCCGCCCACAGAAATCCCCGGATCGCCAGCTCATTTTAAAAGCTTGGCAACTTGTCATTTTCTATCTGATGATTTTAAGGGCCTTTTTAAATGTTTCTTATGCTGGAAGCCGTCTGGAGTCTCTTTGAAATGAGACGGGTGGCAAAATAAATTTAACCACCCTCATAATTATCTCCGGTTTAATGATCCTATAATCCCTTGCGGGGTGGAGTCTGGGCAATTGAATGGAGCAACTGAATGTTTAGTGGCCAGATGCCCTTCCTGTTGCCAATACAGAGTTACATTTAGCAGATATATTCTCATCCTGCCCAGAGAGAGAAATAGCTGCCCTCTATTTAGGTTTGAACTCACAGCCTCCTGATTGTTAGGCAAGAGCTCCACCTTTAGGCTCGGCAAATAAATTTAATAAATAAATAAAAATAAGACTGAGAAACTGTAACTGGGGGGGAGGGGGGAATCCTGCAAATCTGCCCCCCAAAACTACATCTCATCCTTTGCGGCCTGAAGCGATAGTTCCAAAGAGACATAAGCAACAGAAGACAATCTATATCTCATTATTATCATGACAATACAGTAACAAATTCACTTTAAAAAAAAAAACAAACCATTGGCATAGATGTGCAGGGAAGGGTTTGAAAAATACGGGTGAAAAACCAGTGACATTTTCTGGAAGAACCTCTGGGGCCACAGCCTCACAAAGCCTCCTGTAACTTCATGGTGGCCAGCTAGGTAAATAATTTTTTTTATAAACATTCATGAGCCTCTCAAACGGCTGATCTGATTTTCATGGGGCAAATGGTAGTTTTTGTGGGGGGCTTTTTTTGAGGGGGGAGGAGGGATGAATAGCTATTGAAACGGAAAACGTTCCTACTTAAAAAAAAGAAGAAGAAAATTCAAGGAAAAACATTCAGCCAGATTTTTTTAAAAAATAGATCAGTGCAAGGGAAAAAAATTCATCGATCCAGTTCAGATCGATTGAAAGCTGTCAATTCAAAATGTTGGAAGCTTGTGGGCAGGCCAGACAAAGGCCAAGAATGACCTCTCTTCTGAATGCAGATAGTCCTCTGTTTACGACTGCTTGTTTAGCAACTGTCCGAAGTTGCAACGGTGTTAGGAATATAATTCTAATGGTTGGGTTGGCAATATATAAATCATGTAACAATGCTGTACCTGTTTCTTTAAATCATGCTGTAAAATGTGATTGGTTGCTGTTTCCTCAATCGGCCATAAGAGGGAGCCAAAATGACTGTTAGCTCTCTGTTAGATGCTGGGCTGATCTGATCTGATCTGAGTGTTTTGGAAGCTGGCTGTTAGAAAGTNTTATGAGCCGAGGACTGTCTATACCAGTGTTTCTCAACCTTGGCAACTTGAAGATGTTCGGACTTCAACTCCCAGAATTCCCCAGCCAGCATTTGCTGGCTGGGGAATTCTGGGAATTGAAGTCCAGACATCTTCAAGTTGCCAAGGTTGAGAAACACTGGTCTATACAACCAGATTGCATTACAGCGGATATTACCAGGAAGAAGGAGACGTGAGAAAGGAACAACACGCCATCTCCATCGAAAGGAGAATATTGGTAGCTTGGTAGGTTGAAATGTGGGGGGGGGGGGCTTGGTGTTCTTGGAGCTCGGTGGCTTTCTTGCAGGCGTTTCATGGCCCAACTAGGCAACATCATCAGTGCTACAAGGGTATGGAGTGGAGGAGCAGGAGGAGGAGGAGGAGGAGATAACATCACCAGTGCTAGAAATGAATGGGGTTTGTGGAGAGAAGGGCTGTGGGGCCCTTGGGAGTTCTCTGAGCTTGGTTTGTTTCCTTGCAGACATTTCACGACCCAACTAGGTAACGTCATCAGTGCTGGAAGGGAATAGAGTTTGCTCTCCAACCCTTCTAGCACTGATGATGTTAGCTAGTCGGGTCACGAAACGTCTGCAAGGAAGCAACCACATTCAGAGGTCACCAAGGACCCCAGAGTCCTCCTCCTCCTCCTCCTCCACTCCGCACCCTTCTAGCACTGATGATGTTACCTAGTTGGGTCATGAAATGTCTCCCTTAAACCTGAGCCTTCATTCTTAGGTCCTTAGGATGAATCTGGGGTTCCACCTAGCATGTTTCCATCACGGAGAATTCCTTCTCTTCTGGAGATCCTGATTCTACGTTTTGAAGGACCTCTACTAGAAGAGCAGAAAGTTCAAGAGGGCAAAGGAAGCAGGATGGGGTGCAAAATTATTTTGACAGACCTGATTCTAGGAGAACGGAGCACCGGGATCCAACCACCTCTTGTCCTTACAACACTTGGATCTCAAGATGGATCTGGAAAACAAATTCTGAGAACCACGTTCTTCCATGACCCCCCCCCCCGATATAGGTAGTCCTCAACTTACGACCATTTGTAGTTACAACGGCACCTAAAAAAGTAAGTCCATTTTCTGCACTTACGACCGTTGCAGCATCCTCGTCGTGATCACATGATTAAAATCTTGGCAACCGGTTCATATTTATGACGGTCACAATGTCCCGGGATCATATGACCAGGTGATCTTCTGATTAGCAAAGTCGACGGGGGAAGCCAGGTTCCCTTCACCACCGCGTGACGAACGGAACAACTGCAGTGCTTTTGCTGAACGGCCGTGGCACGAAAGGTTGTAAAACGGGGCAAAACTCACTTAACCAACGTCTCGTTCAGCGACAGAAATTCTGGCCTCTATTATGGTCATAAGTCAAGGACTAAGGGTAGGTAGAATTTGCAGCTGGTTGGAGAGGGAAGGATAGTAAGGATGCTGGGTTGGAGTGGGGGGTGGGGGGCAGAAGCAAGGGGAAACCCCCCCCCCCCATTATTAAAACTTTGGTTCCTTCAGACCCCGATCCACGTTTCGAAATAAGCCAGGGTTAGAAAGCAGGAGGGACGGTGAGGGCAGCTGAACACAAGGCCAGAAATCTGACATTCATTTTGCTCAACCCAACAAGCAAAGAGGGAACAGAGTTATTTGGTTTGTCTTTTGTGGGTGGGTGGGTGTTTGTGTGAGTGTGTGTGTTTTTTTAAAAAAATAAATAAATAAAACAATAACTAAAATTAAACCGTGAATGGGGGGGGGGGGAGAAGAAAAGGAGGTGAGGTTGAAAGCATCGAAGGAAACCAAATGGCATTAAAAAAAAAAAACATTTTGACACCCAGCAAGCTGCTACTTTTTCAATGAGGTGAGAAGTTTTGGGCATTTTGGTGAGAAGACAGGGTCTTGCCCCAAAATGGGGACAGGAAAAGGGGTTCAAGATAAATGTACAGCCTCAACATACTTCTGAGGAAACTTAGATTACACCTGTCTACTTGGGTTGTTACAAGGCAGGTTGTGTGAATTGTTGTGTGGGTACAATTCAATGGGGTGGGGGGATTTTTAAAGTGAGTTACCACCAGATTCCTGGGCTCAGCATTAATTTTTTTCCCCTCTTTAATTCTTCCAAGGGGAATAAATATATATATATATATATATATATATAACCCTAACCCTATATATATATTCCCGTTCTGTCTCAAAACCAGACTTTTCCCTCATTTAGGGCATCTGAATTTATTTCCCCCAGGTTGATTACAACTTAACCTTCACAGNCTCTCCCAACGGGGAGCTTACCTAACAAACGGCATTGAAAAAATTGACTTACAACTGCCCCTCACATGTATGTCCATCACAACGTCTCCATTGTCGTTTTATCTAAATTCAGGCATGTTGACAACTGCCATTTATTTCTGACAGTATCGATAAAGGAGAAAATTCGTAACTCGCAGTTGAAATGAGGGGGTCCTTGGTGCTCTCTGAGCTTGGTTGTTTTCTCGCAGACGTTTCATGACCCAGCTAGGTATCATCGTCAGTGCTACGACGGTTTGAGAGCAAAACTCCAGTCCATCCTAGCACTGATGATGTTACCTAGCTGGGCAGTGAAACGTCTGCAAGAAAACCACCAAGCTCAGAGAGCACCAAGGACCCCTCGTTGATGAGAGTAGCAGAGTCCCGGAGTCACACAATCGCCATTTGCAACTTTCCTAGAAGCAAGATTTGCTTCGCAACTGTGCGATTCACTTAATGACCGCAGCAAAAAAAAAAAGATTGTTAAAATCGGACACGAATCGCCTCGCTTAGCAATCGTCAATCCAGGACTATCTGTATTCCGAAGAACCTGCTTACTTTGCCTTTCTGGTTCTTTCCCTAACTCATTTCTAGTGAATATTTTGAAAATAATACTTCCTGGGAGGAAAGAATTGTGTTGTTCGGCTGAATTTTTTTTTCCTGGGGCTTAAGAAAGCACCTTACAAAAAGGCATTTTATGCCCGCCGTTAATTTTCATCTGAGTCAGCCCCGCATTCTGCTACCAAAATTTCGTGCACAGAAAAGTGAACCAACAAATTTGCAATTTATTGGGCCACTTGGGATACCAAACATCCCCTTGTGGGAGATACAACTAGCAGAATTGGAAGGGACCTTGGAGGTTTTCTAGTCCAACCCCCTGCTCAAGCAGGAGATCCCTATATTATTCCAGACCAATGGCGGTCCAATCTCTTCTTAAAAACTTGGAACACCCCCCAACTTTTAGTGGCAAGTCATTCCACTGATTCATTCTTCTCACCGTCAGGAAGTTTCTCCTTAGTTATAGGTTGGTTCTTGCTTCGAGAATAGAATAGAATACAGCTGGAAGGGACCTTGGAGGTCATCTAGTCCCTCCCCCTGCTCAAACGGGAGAACCTATACTATTTCAGATAAGCGACTGTCCAGTCTCTTCTTAAAAACCTTAGTTTAACTTGGATACCTCTTGGGAAGACGTAGGAATTTAAAAAATGCCTTGAATTTTAAACCTTTGAAAGGATGACCCTTCATCTTTCAAATGCTTCCTATGTCAGGCCTGCAATTATATTCCTTTTAGAATTTTGGCCTGCCACACTTTCTCTTATTTCAATATGCTGTTTCAT